TTGCCATGAACATAGAAAACCAATCACTGAAACAGTTAAACGTTAATAGAATTAAAACTATATACATATATAAAATCTGTTTAAAACATACAAATAATTACAATAAAAGCAGCATGGCACCAGCCCTTTCATTAAAAGCAGTCAATTCTTCCCAGCTGAATTTGAAAACTGTTGTTCTGCATCTTTTACCAGCATCTTTGCAAACCTAGCCATTACAGTATCATAAGTACAGACATATCTCTGGCAAGTCCTTGTGATTTCTAGCAACTGTGCAGCTGGGATTTGTTCTCAGGCAATTTTAATTCTCATTCTTGTCCCCTTGCTTCAGGCAACAGGCTTTTTGTCTGGTTCTGGCCTCTCCCTTTCTTAATTAGACATGTGGGCTGACATTCATTTTTCATCCATCAGCATTTCCATTTCCCCATTATGTCTAGGGGCACATTACATATACTTTAGCAAAATGCCCTATTATAAAACATATCTTCAGGAGGAAGAGCTTCCTTACACAGAATCCTGATGCATTAATAGGAAACCCTGGTTTTGGTTTCAAATATGCATAATGGATTTCACTGCAAAAATACCCTCTAAATTATGCACAGTTATATTTATTAAACCAGCTGTACCAGAATACAATAACCATCTAAATAAACCCCTTCCTTATAATTTAGTAATATCTATAAAACACTAATTTTATAATCTATTCAGAAATCTTATTTATGAAATGGGAAAACAAAACTCTGGACTAACTTGAAAATGCAGAGGTTTTCTCCTAGCCTGGGTCCTTTGCAGATAGAATCATAGAACTGTAGAGCTGGAATGGACCTTGAGGGTCATCTAGTCCAACCCCCTGCAATGCAGGAACCTCAACTAACACATCCATGACAGATGGCAATCCAACCTCTGCTTAAGAACCTCCAAGGAAGGAGAGACCACAAGCTTCCAAAGGAGTCTGTTCCTGAGTGCACTCAAGATGCATTGAACCTTTAAAGGACATTGTAAATATAAATGAGGTACGGTAAAGTGAAACTTAAAATAAATAAATAAATCATATGCTGTATTTCTGTTAGCCACAAACAATTAAGGAATAGGTCCTCTGCTAGGCCAAAATACTATTTACTGTTCAATGAAATTTGCTTTAGTTTAGCTACTTTCCATTTTTACAGCAGGTCAAATTACATGTTATGGTAAGCACCTATTTTTAGAAAAAGTAGCTACACAGGTCCTGCAGCCCAGGGACTGCAGCCCATGATAAGGGGTCAATCCTTTCCTCTCACACCTTTTCCATCTGAAAATCCCAGCCCAGCCCCACTACTACACATCCCAGCCCAGCCCCACTACTACACACAGCAGAAAGCACCTTCATAGAATCATAGAGTTGGAATAGACCACAAGGGCCATTGAGTCCAACCCCCTGCCAAGCAGGAAAAAGTAGCAGAGGTGAATGGATTTGTAAAGGTGTGGCACTGAGGGGAACAGGGTTGAAAGCTCTTCTCTGCATACCTTATTAGGTTCCCCAACAGCTCCTTTTCTTAAAACTACAGGCAGTAATAAAAACACTTTAAAAATGTACACCTAGCATCATCTAACATGCAGTTTGACTAAAAATATGCACTTTTGTTCCCTTTCCAGTTACCATTCCAAATTTAAAAAAACCCACAAACCCTATGCATTAAAAAACACTTGCACACTCCTGCACCCACAATAACTGATTCAATGAAAAAGATATTATCTTGTCCTTCTCAAATTCTCTGGAACAAATGTGGATTCAAATGCTTACAACCATCTACAAATATTTTATTTGTTGTTCCTATTATTGTCCCTATAACTATTGTGTGTGATGTGCCAATAAAAAAAACTACAGAACTCTTTATTTCACTAAGCATCAACACTTTAGCTCACTAAGGCAGCTGAAGATGATGAGCTTATTTATTAGTTCATCACAAGAAGGAAATAACAAAGCACCACACTCTCTCTCTAAGGGTGTCACTGTATTGTGTAAACACCAAGTTGCATATTATAATGAAGGATATCATTTTAAAGTTAAAATGTCCAGTCAGCTTTTAGACAGGTGTGTGTGTGTTGTTTTATTTAAAGCATATTTAAAGCATATATTTATAATGAAGCACAGGAAGTACATAGTTAACTGTTAACATTATAAAGACAGCAACTTTAGCCTTATGCATAAGTAGTGCATTTGCAAGATATATGTAACAAATTGTGAAACTCCCATCTCTACTATTTATTGTCAGTCTTAATAATGTCAGTTCTATATACATGAAACAACTTTTTAGCACACAAAGCATGAATCCCCCAGGTGGCTGCCTTTCAGTTAGTTGCTAACCAATAATTTCAAAACCACCCCTCACCATGAAAACTGCCACTTTTGATTTTTGCAAGAATCTGTTTATCACATCAAACAGGGATTGATGGCAGTGATGTCCATAAGTAATGTTGCTAAACAAAGAAATGATACTTCCTGTATTCCTTTCTAGCGAAAGGAAGCATAAGTGGCTTGGGAGAGTGAATTTGGCAACAGCCTCCTGACTATGGCAAGCACTCACCCCCAGAAGCTACACACCTGTGGAATTGGTCCAAGTCTAGGCTTCTGCCTCCCTTTCTGAATCATAAAGTACAGCCACATGCTTTCTCCTGTTTACAGCACAATGAGATTAATGTGCTTTAAAGTAGCTCAGAAATTTTTAAAGGGCATGCAATACAAGATGGGGCCAAAATGACAGCGCTGAGCTATACAACTCTGTGTGTCTGTGTATGGACCTATTTGGTGTTTTATTAAAACAGTCAGGACTTTGTCTGCACTTTTTAATCTATTTCTCTTTCTATTGTTGAGGAAATGTGTGGATAAGAGGAAAACAGCAGGCCAGGGCAGGGCTGGAGAGAGAAAAAGAGAAAAGGGAGTGAGCAGCTAGGTTGTTAGCTAACCAACTGGGTCAACAAGAAATGAGAAAACCCATGAAAGCTAATAACGAGAAAGATCTGAATCCATAATGTGGTGGCTAGTTAATAGTCTTGTTCCTGTTACAGACAGCTCCTTTTGCTGTTTTAATCATTCATATACTCTTATCTACTTTCCCATAAACCATGGTCCCTGGGCATAGTATGGAGGGAGACTGAGCAGTATGTTTGCTGAAGCTAAGCAGGTCTGGGCCTGGTCAGTGTCTGGATGAGAGAGAAAATTTAGGAACTGCAGGTCTCACTTTAGTTCTTTTGCAAAGCACTGTGACTCAATGGAAGAGCATCTTCAGCTTGAAACCCAATGGAGTTGCTGCCAGTCAATGTAGACAGTACTGAGCCAGATAAACCTATGGTCTGTCTAAGGCAGCTTCCTATGTTTTACAATGGAAGGAGGTAACAACCCACGCCCCGTTTTCATTAATTCTCTGGCATGCAGCTGCAGCATTCATATATCAAATAAATGTTCTCTCTAATGGAACCCCAGTATTGTGGGGACTTGTAAAGGATTAACTAAGTGTACATCCCAAGATTACTAAATGTGGTCTGCATATCTGTAAGGAGCATTAACTATCCAGAGTGGTTAAGAGAGTTAAAAAAATTATTCCACCTTTTAAATGCATGCTTAAGGGAAAACAAGCCAGGAAACACTTTCTGTCTGTCATAAACAGTAGCAGTTTTTGTTTTGTTTTGTTTTTTTAAAAGCTGGCAACACAGTTTCAAGAATAAGTCTTTGTTCTGTCAAAAGATATTGGGCTCAGCCATGGCACACAGCATTTAATAAGGAGTGATGGGGTTCAAGCCATCTTGGGAGTCTTAGTTCTTCAATCCTGAAGATGTGTTTGTGGAGGGCTGCAATTCATCAGTATAGAGAATAATTCATCAGTGGTACCTCGGGTTACAGACGCTTCAGGTTACAGATGCTTCAGGTTACAGACACCACTAACCCAGAAATATTACCCTGGGTTAAGAACTTTGCTTCAGGATGAGAACAGAAATCGCGTGGCGGCTAAAGTGGTACCTCAAGTTAAGAACAGTTTCAGGTTAAGAAAGGACCTCCGGAATGAATTACGTTCTTAACCTGAGGTACCACTGTATACCAATCATATCTAAATGAGACCTCCATTTTTTCATAAAAAGTATGTTCTCGGCATACACACACACACAAAAAAAATTAGAGACGGCCATCACTACCATCACCTACTTTTGAATTTCCAAGGCAACTAACTGAAAGCTGTTGTCAACGGTGGTCAAGAAGCTACATGCCTCTGCGAAGCTCACAAGCAGCAACACATTTTAAGAAACCATGATGAATCCTGCTAGAAAGATCAGGACTTGCAGGTCAAGTTTCCAGAAGCCTCTGGTTGTTACCGTTGGAAATGCTGTGCTTGATAGACCCACCCTGGTTTCATCCAGCCAGGCTCTCCTGCTGTCCTTAGCAAGTATTGCCTTAAACTACAATTGGAAGTCCTGGTCCAACAAACCAACTGTTTGATTCTTAAAACAAACCGTGTTTTTCAAACAACAGGTGCTACCTGCCAGGTTCCCAGAGATATCTCACCACCCCCTGTTGCTGACAGAGAGCAGGACCAAGGACTCCTAGGGCTCAAGTTCCTTACTGAGGAGCAGACTTTCATATTTATTGTGTTTACATCCTAACCTTTTCTCCAAGGAGCTCACTGCGGCCTACATGGTTAACCTCTCCCCAAAATTGATCCTCACCACCTTGTGAGGTAGCTTCGGCTGACTGCTCCAATGTCACCCGCGGTGCTCGCGGCCAAATGGGGATCTGGACCCGGGTCCCGCCCCCACGCCCCCAATTTTAGGCGGCCGCTCTAACCGCTACACCGCACTGCCTCAAGCCGAGCTTGCTAGCTAGTTCCGAGCTGGTGGTAATAACGAAAACAATGACACGCGTGTGTTGCGCATGTGCAGCCAGGAAATGCTCTCCCCTCCAAACACACCCGCCTGGTGCACTCTGCACATGCTCGTGGGGTTGAGTAAGACCCAACGACGAGGCCGTGCCTCACCTGATGTAAGGGCTGGCGGCCGCCAGGATGTTGGTCTGCACGGGGATCTCCTCGCCCTCCAGCACCAGATGGGCGTCGCAGAAGCGGCCCTCCTCGCGGAAGGAGCTCAGCGCCCTCAGGAGCCGGGCCGGGTGCTGGGGGTCCGACACGGCGCTGCCCGCCGCCCCGCTCGACATCGCGGCGTCCCCAACCGGACGGAGCCCAATTCTTAGCAGCAGGAGTTAAGGGGCGGTGGTGGTCGCCGATGCCGCCGCCGCCTCCTCTTCTCCCTTCGCGCCTTTTCCTTCTCTCCTCAGGGGCCGGACTCCGCCAGGCCAAGGCGGCCTTTCTCCGCTCCTCCCCCTCCTCACGCGCCCAACAAGCCGAAGCTGCCTCCGCGCCTCGCGTCTTCTCTCTCGCCTCAGCCGCTCTCCGGCTCCTCGCATCCGAGCCGGTCCCCCACCATACATCCCAGCCCCGGCTCCGGCCTTGACATCATATCCTCGCGCCGGCCCATCCCGGCTCCGCCTGCCGGAGAGGAGGAGCCGCAGCCGCCGGTGGGATGGAGGGGAAGGAACTGGGCAGCCGCGATTATCCCCTCCAGGCTGGACAAAACGGACGGCATGTGTCATGAACACCACGCGGGATGACAGCAACAACAACAATAACATCATACGCTTTATCCTCTTTACTGGCACGCACGCAAAGCAGGGCGGGCGCTCTGCTTATGCTCAGAGGCACCAAGGCGGCTCTCCATCTGCCTTGCGCTGAGCTTGCTCATTTAGGTTATGGGAGGCGCGCCATAACCTATGGCCCTCCGGACGTTGCTGAATTACAATTGCCCAATTGACTAATTTAGCTTAAAAACTACTGTAAACAGTTAAAATTGTGAGTAGGGTTAGAATAACACTTGTAGTTTAATGGTGAATTTTGGATATAATATAAATGAAGATTTGGGTTATTGTAAAAGATGCAGGAGGAAATGATTAACAATAGGACTCACAAAGGGGAGGAGGGAAGTCCAGGAGATTCTATGGAATCTTGTATTTCTGTTGTATGTTGGATATGTGATCGTAAAACTGTAATTTGAAAAACCAAATAAATAAATTATATATATATAAATTACAAATACAATTGCCCCTGAGGCCGTGTTTGTGAGATTGATGGGAGCCCAGCAGCATCCGGGGAGCCATAGGCTATTATTTATTTATTGTAGTTGTTTCTATACTGCTTAATATTCAGACTCTCTAAGGGGTGTAAGATTAGCCAGCCATGCCCAAACTCCTGATGTGTGGGGTGAGTGGAAGATGAACATGCTCACAGCATTAAGCAACAAATAATGTTTAGAGATTTGCAGCACAAACCTATGCATATTTACTTGTAAGTAATCCTCATTGAACTTAATAGGACGTACTTCTAATTGTGCATAGGAGTGTGTTGTTATATGCGGAGACTATGCATGTACAGTCATACCTCGGGTTAAAGTCACTTGAGGTTGAGCGTTTTCAGGTTCATTCTTTTCAGTGGGTGAATTCTGCTTGGGACGTAATAATACAGTGGTACCTCGGGTTACAGGGACGCAGGTGGCGCTGTGGGTTAAAGCCTCAGCACCTAGGACTTGCCGATCGAAAGGTCGGCGGTTCGAATCCCTGCGGCGGGGTGCGCTCCTGTCGTTCGGTCCCAGCGCCTGCCAACCTAGCAGTTCGAAAGCACCCCCGGGTGCAAGTAGATAAATAGGGACCGCTTACTAGCGGGAAGGTAAACGGTGTTTCCGTGTGCGGCTCTGGCTCGCCAGAGCAGCGATGTCACGCTGGCCACGTGACCCGGAAGTGTCTCCGGACAACACTGGCTCCCGGCCTATAGAGTGAGATGAGCGCACAACCCTAGAGTCTGGCAAGACTGGCCCGTACGGGCAGGGGTACCCTTACCTCGGGTTACATATGCTTCAGGTTACATACGCTTCAGGTTACATATGCTTCAGGTTACAGACTCCGCTAACCCAGAAATAGTGCTTCAGGTTAAGCACTTTGCTTCAAGATGAGAACAGAAATTGTGCTCTGGCGGCGTGGCGGCAGCAGGAGGCCCCATTAGCTAAAGTGGTGCTTCAGGTTAAGAACAGTTTCAGGTTAAGAATGGACCTCCGGAACGAATTAAGTACTTAACCCGAGGTACCACTGTACAACCCAATTATTACACTGGCCCCAACCAGAAGTTGGGCATTTAGTATTGCTGATCCCATGCTGTGGAACACGCTTCAAAGAGACATTTGGCAGACATTAAGACTTTTTTTATGTGGACAGGCCTATACAGCCGATCAAACTTTTCTTGAGTAGCCAGTCTTTTTAATGATTGTTTTGTGCTGCTTTTATTGGTTTTTAAAATGTTTTTACATTGTTGTACACCACCCTGATGTTTTATGAAAGGGTGGTGCGTATGTAAATAAAACCTGTGTTTGCATTTGGACATGTAGGCCCATACTGAAACTTGTACACATAAAGGAGGAGGGATGCAATCCTCACCCTCAGGCTCATTCCCAAACATCAAAAGCCAGGGGAGATTGTTGTCAGAAAAGGAAGCCTTTTATTACATTTCTAAAGCCAGTGGCCTGCATGGGTGCATTGGAAGTCCAGGAAGCATGTGCTACCCTGGGAATGCTGTAACTCACAGGCCTTGTACCTTGCCACATGGGCAACAGTGCAGAGATTTGCAGGTTCTTAATGCTAGCTCAGGCAGCTATCACCATAGTGCACCTAGAAGTTGATATGGAGTGATTTAAAGTTTTACTTTTTGTACCATTTTCATCTTTTATTTTGCTTGTAAGCTCCTTTGGAAAGGCATTTGCCCAGAAAACCATCCTAAATAATTAAATAAATCCTAAGGCTCATCCTATATCAGGGTGGGTGCTACTTTTTAGACCAAGGGCCACATTTCATTCTGGAAAACCTTTATGGGGGTCACAAAACCTTTGTGAGGCCAGTGAAAAAAATGAGTAGAATAATTAATGTAAACTTAGCTTTGTACGGAAGACTGGTTTCTACACACTCACACTCACCCCTCTATCTTCCATCCAAGCAAGCAAGAGCCATTATCAGAGATAGAGGACATGTTGCAGCTAACCAAAAACACCCAAGGATGGTGAGGGGTGTAACTGGGGAGTGTGTATGACCTTGAGTGAGTCCCAAAGGCCAGATATAGAGGCCTACAGATTCCCCCACCTAGACCTGAGATTTCCCCACCTCTGTCCTTGATTCTGAGGCTGTGTGTTGGAGTTGACCAGCTTTTAGTATTCTAGTTCCCACCATAAAGCGCAAACTTTGGTACTCTGTATCTGTCCATAATGCCCATAACATTACAAGAAGCAGACATTACAGGCAGGATTTGCCTAAGAGACCTGTGGAAAGATTTTGGCTTGTGAAATGGGGCTTTCCCCCTCTCCTTCCCTAAAAATGGCTCTGGGTGGTCAGGAAGACCCCCAGAACAGTATTTAGGGATTACAGGGGGGGGGGGGAATCCATCAGGCAAGCAGAAAGAACATTTGGCATAGCACAACACAGAATTACACCCTACATATGCATGCATGCACACAATGCAATGGTTTCCTTTGGGTGTGGGATGGGGTGTGCTGCACTGAATATGATCTGTCCCAGTCAGCTTGGAAGAGAAAGAAATGTGGAACAACCCAATGCCTCATGCTCAATAAACTCCCAAAGCTGAGGACGCTCATGGAACTTCACCTGTAAGAAGGCCCGTGTGTTTCTCCATTAATACAGCTGCTTTGGAAATTTCCTAACCAAGGGTGTTGTGCTTTGACTGCATGTAATGTGAAAGCCAATAATTTGGGTGACCTTGTCTTAATTATTTCAAGAGAAGTACGGTAATTTGTTTCTGCTGTCACCTGTTAATGATTATGATGTAAGGAAGCAGAACTGTGTTTTTGGTTTTCCCTTCAACTTGTAAACAATGACTTGGCTTCTCAAGTCACCTATCTAGGTCAACAAGGAAAGCAGGTGATGTAACAGATGGATCAAGGAAGAACAAACCTAGATGCAAAAAATGGGAAAGAAGCCTGTTGAAAACAAAACAGGAAATGGCCCAGCCATCCTCTTCCAGCTGGCTCTCTCCCTTCATCCCTCCCTCCAGGAGAAAAGAAAGGAAGGGTGAGGTCTGAAGGTAGGGATGGGGGAGAAATTTGATTCAGTTCACAGTTATGTAGGCTAATCTGTCTAATTCTCACTTTCCAAAACTACTTGAACCAAAACACAGCAATCCTTCCAAATTTGCACTTTTCCAAATTTTCTCCAAATTTAGATAACAGTTCTTAAAGGTTGACCAGCTGAGGTGGATATAGCTGAGAGAACTGTCTCTGAGTAGAGCTGATGGAATGGCCTCGATTCTTTCCTCTCATCTCATTCTGCTACAGCCTGATGGAGCGGCTATTGCTAAGTGACCACTGAGGAAAAAAGCTTGTCTGCACTAACCTTTGCTACATGCTTTCTAGGCACAGGTCCAGGTTTTCCAGGTCCGTGTCTGAGCAGGGTTTGTCTGTCCCCCTGTCTGCCCCCCCATCACTTTCTCTTGAGAAACCAGCATTTTACAGCAGAATCAGAGCAAATGACAATCTGCAGAAAAACCCTATTGCCATTTGCTCCGATTCAGCGGTAAAAGTCAAGTTTTCCTGGGGAAAGTGCCAGGACAAAACAAAACAAAAAACCCCACTGATCAAACCTGAATCTGGAAAGCCTGGACGTGTGCTTAGAAATGAGGCCTCAAAGGAAGTGTGGATGAGCCCAAAGGCTCTCAGTAGATCTGATGGAGTGGCTCTGCTTTCCTTCTCTCGCTCTGTAATAGCCTACTGCTGTAGGCTATTTGACAGCCAAAGAACAGGAAGTAGACGAGGAAGCCACTGTCCATAATAAACCTCAGCATTACACTTTAAATGCAAGGATGGAGTTGGTAGGGCATGTATGAGTGTTTTTTAATGACCCCTGTGCAGGAAAAACATCACGTGAAGTAGCTTGCACTGCAACATTTGGGTCAGAGGGGAAACAGAGTCGTCCTGTTTTATTCATGCAAATTAATGTCAAGATCACCTGATCTAACTTTAGGATAGTCATTGCAGTGGCATAGGTTTGGTGTTAAGCAAGTTATCCTGACTAGCCTTGCCCTGCTCCACAAAAACATACACACCCTTTTATATTGCCTGCCTGCAAGTGATGGTATGTTTTCAGCTTCACCCTGATTTTAATCCTCTGCCTGAGATTTCTTCCAGGATATTGGTGTATGGTGCAACTCCTTAAGTGCTTGTATTGATTTCAAGAGCCCTAATTGTATGCTGAGCTTTATGTTCTGACCCTGCATCCCTGAAGACAAAGATCTGGCCATTTACTTCAGTGGCAATGGAATCAAGGCTCTAAAACAGACCCAAAGCAAGTTTGTCTGACAAAAGATTTCGGTAGAAAGGGATGTTATTGGACTCAAGACTGTTTACATCAGCAAAGCGATTTGTGGACATCATACACTGAAAGGACATGACTTCCCCCAAATAATGTTGGGGGAACTATAGTGTGTTAAGGATGCTGGGAATTGTAGTTCTGTGAGGGGTAAACTACAGTTCCCATGATTCTCTGGTATGTATGGATGTGACCTTGTGTTATGATGCAGTCACTGATCTGAGGCAAGGCTGGATATAGGGCTCTGGCTGTGATATAAGAGAGTAAAACATTGATGTTGCTCCAATACTGGCTTTCCACCAAGTGCCTTCAACCTGGATCTTCCAATTTCTTGATGTTATTACCCTACCTATCTTCTGCTTTTTCTGTGAAATTGCTTCAGGACCTGCTGTCCCAGCTCTTTATGTAGCCAGGGAGAGGAGAGGTTAAGAGCACAGCAGCAGGAGTGGACTTAGGGCAG